TCCTCCTCCTCCTCCTGACGGGAAAAACTAGGATTCGTCTCGGTAAATCCTCTAATCCATTAGGGGAGCAGTTGGGGTAGGGTTTGGGAGATTTGACCTGCCGTGGATTCTTTGTACTCTCAGATAAAGTGTCCCGCGCGCGCTCTGATGCACCTGCGCGCGTGTGTGTGTGTGTGTGTGGCGCTGCAGGAAAAAGTCCAAAGAAAAAAAGAGGGCAGATGGATGCGGACGGGGCTGGTTCCCAGACGGAGATGAGATGAGATGAGTGCGTGGAGGAGCCGCTGGCGGCGGGTTTTTTGACTTCCCCAGTGCAGCGACCTGCTCCGGCTCTGGAGCACACATGCTGACACTAATTGTCCCCGTGCTGACTGTGTCCCTTCGTGGACAATGGTTTTGATTGGAATGGGGGTGAGTTACGGTGTTGGGACAAGGGTCTTTGTTCGGTAGCCTTTTTTTCCCCCTTCCCTCCCCCACTCCTCCCCTTTATCCCCCCCTGCCCATCCATCTATCTTGTTCCAACCATTTGGGCAGCTGTCACTTAATCCAGCTAATCACAGACTGGGATGGTCTGTGGGAAACCAGACTAGTCCCCCTTGGCTTTGCTCATCCCTAACCGACTCTGGGGGGACTATTTACCCCGACCGTTTACAACACGTAGGCATGCGAGCGGGCCTCAGTTTTTTTTCGGTTAAGGGAAAGGTCGCCGTCTGGCCACCTGCTCGGGCTTTGATCTCTGACGGTTTACGACTGTCCCATAGCCTCCCCGAAAACAGCCAGGCCTCGGGCTGCCACCTCCAGTCCCTGGCGCCTGCTTCGCCGTTTCTCTCTCGTACACACCGGCATACGCAGGACCCCGCCCACATGCTCAGACTGGGCCAGCCGGCCCTCCCTTCTGTGATGGGGGGTAGGGACGGGTGGAAAGGTCAGAAGCCGAGCTGCGTGTCGTGGGATGATGCACGTTCATGTCACATAATCCATCTTTCGGGGGCTGGCGGCATCGCCCACAGACGGGAGGATCTGGATCCCGTCATTTGAGCCCAGCTTCTGATTTTTGAACATTTTATTTCCTCTTTTTTATGTGTTTTTGGGTGTTGGATGCGGTTCTGACACACCTGATGTCTGCACCATAAACCGGGCTCCCCTAACCCAACCTCGCCATCCTTCCTTTTCTCTCATCACCCACGGTATTCCACAATAACACTCCCCTCCCCTTCCTCCCGCCGCCACCCACAGCCAGACAAGCCTGCTTAATCCCACAGCCCAGCAGCGACCGGCCTACCAGCTTGCTGTTCCCCCAGATCAACAACACGGATTCGCAAACACACATCTCGCAGTCCTCCTCCCTCTGATGTGTCCCCACGCTTTGTCGAGCGAAGCGAATACTGGCTTTTTCCTTTTTTTTTCATTACTTAAAACACCCCCCCCCCCCCCCCCACACACCCCCAATCCTGCGCCTTCTCGATGACGTTCCACTAAAGGTCACGGCAGTCAAACTGCGGCTACTACAACTGTCACTGGTTGTGATGTAATGAGTGCTATTTAGGTCAACTGGTTGCCTAGCAGTGTGCCCTGTAGCACACCAGCTAGATTACCCCCGTGCTGCTGGTTTGCATCTGTGTGCTTGGCTGTGTGCGTGCGTTCATATTTGCTCAAACCGGTATCGGATGCCTAATGCTTAGATTTAAAAAAACAAACATTTTTTTAAAAACATATTTTACAGAGCCGGGCAGACCGAAGCAATCATTTGATTGTGTACACCGGCTGAACAACGAGCAGCCTCAGTTTTTTGTTTTGCAATTATTGCAGAAGTATTTGGTTTCAGCATCACAGAAGCTCTTCTGGAGTAGTTTTTAGTTTTTAGGGGAATGTCGGATCCAAAAGGCTGTAAATATTCCCCAAGGGGAACTAGGTCCGAGATGACCTGAAGTCTTTCGTTCCCTCAGACTTCTTCTTCATTAGTGAGGTCATCCTAGCAGAGAGTGAGCGGCCTTCGTTACCGCACCACTTCCCTCATACTGGTTAAGCACAAAGCATAAGTTGGTGTGAAACTACATAATCCCCTTAGCCGCTGACATACCTCACTGTCTGACAAGCAAGGACAAACCAGTTCATCTCATACAGCTAATATTGGCAAAGTGACCTTCTTAATGGCCGGCGTACCTGTGGGGGGCCTAATGCTGCGTGAAAATATGGGGCAAGACAATCTGTGAAGGGGAGTTTAGTTCGAGAACCTGAAGTTATTAATGCCAGAAACACTAAATGAAGACGTGCACAACCTTGCTGCTTGTTATCTGACTGACAGTTTTGTAAAATGAATGAATATATTTCTTTATTAAACAACGGAGCATCAGTCTGGATGTTGGAGGGTGAAGTGGCACCTTTTTAAGCAGAGCTAGGGCTTAAATGTTAGAGCAAACTGAGGAGGGAGCCGTAGGGAAGACGTGCCAGGCAACTTGATGCTCGGCTCTCCTTGTGACTCCAGCTTCTTCTCTTGGCTGCAGAGGTGGATTCAGAGCAGCTCGCTCTTATTTCTGAATCATTGGGTTTCATTGGCCGTGTAATTCAAGTGTACCTCTGGATACTCGGGCCGAGTTGTGCGAGAGACTGTAGTAGGTATGAAATTGATTTTCGTGCTTCTGTTATTTGTGTTAGAGTAGGCCTAAAGGATCCTCGCCTTTGTTCTGTGCTCCTTAGGAACACTTGGTAATTGTAGGTGATGATTATTAGTAAATCAATTTGTGAGCAGATTTTTTTTTAAATGCAGTGTTGTGTGTTTTTAACGTTGTGAAATTAAATGAAACGAACGCTTTTCCCCTCTTTTTTTTTCTTTTTTTGTTGTAAATTTAAAGCTGCAATGAATTCAAAGTTAAAAGTGGCATTATTTAATGGAACCGCATAGTTTTTTCTGTTATTCCCCAAGTGGGAGACCATGTTTCCCGACATTGTTTGCTGAAAAATCTGTTAACTTAACGATAATCGATGCTTTCAACCGTCGGACAGCAGCTCAATTTGTATGAAATTGACTGGTGTTTAGTCTTGAAATTTCCTCTGATCTGTTTTATTCTCTCTCTTCTGCAGCGGACGTTCACGCTGATTGTGGAGGCTTGGGACTGGGACAACACCACACGCCACAGTAAGCTTCAGCTTCATAAACCTCCTCACTGCTTTCACAGGTTATTCTATGAGCCGAAGAGCGGAGGGATCTCTCAACCACCGACCCAACAGAGACTTAACACGAGAAATGAGCTGGGAAAAATCTTGAGTAGCGGCTGATCTGGGCTCGTTTCTGTGGTCAAAATAAGGAGTTGGGACTAGAACATCCAAAGAGATCCATTTTAAAATGGGCCGTGGTTCTTTAGGTTTAGGGTTGGGAAACGCTGACTGAGCTCACTGCTAAAATACTAATGGGACTTTATTCCGTGTTTCCGAAACCCTCAACAGCAGGAAAATCTCCTAAATCTCAGCTCGTCACCTCCGATTTGATGGCTTGGAGGGCATTGTTTGACTGCGCGCTTTTTCGGATTCCTCTCTGATTAGTCAGGCGGGCCGACCTCCCTCAGGATGCAGGTGTTCGGTCAAGGTAAAGGTCCACTGGCACAATTTCCATGCCACGTGTTTAAAAAAAAAAAAAAAAGATAGATTCCTAGAGGCTCATAAAATCCAAACTCACAGGTTTTCCCAACGCCTCATCAAAGAGCAGCTCGTTGACCTTTTGCTGTCAACCACCAACCCCTCACGGCCCGTCGCGCCCAAGGGTGACCACCTGGACCTGAGGGGCGGGCCTCCGCGAAACCGATTGGTTCTGCTGAATAGTTACACAACTCTGTCGCGTTGGGTGACACTCACTATGCATGGGTTGGGAAGAGCACAGGCCTGGGTTCTTCTCTGGCAGACGTTTCGGACCAGCTGTATCCTGTTTTCCTTTGCTGGTCTCCGCTGGGTGGACTTCTGGACGGCCCCCTCTTTCCCGTCCGAGCGGTAGCGCAGTCTGGGAGGAAGAGCGCTCGTCCAGGCCCTGAAAGGCCCGCGTCTGGACGAAGCTTTGATGTGTGGAAATGGGGGTTTTTCAACAGTTTTGCGCGCCCTTTGTGGTCCTGCTCATTCATTCGTCCGCCGGGTTGGAGCGTCCTCTCTCGCTCCGGCTCGTCCCTTGTTTAGATGAGGTCATCGCGTCCTGTTTTGTCCAGAACGTCAAATGGACTTCCACCCGCAAACGCGGACAATGGAGAAGAAATAGATTTTGACATCACCAGCGCTTTAATCAGCCTCCCTTTGCTGCGTAAATTGTGTAGGGTTGCGGTAATGAGTTCTGATGCGTCTAAGGCCTAGAAATCTTCTGATTTCCTTCTAGTGACTCGCTCTTCATTTCCAGCCAAGTCACTGGAAAGATTAGAAAAGTGATGAGACACTGGACCAGTAAAACGGAGCAGATTGCTGTTACTTCTTAATAGTTTTATGTCACTAAGAGAAAGAGAAAATAGTTTTTTGTTTCTGCCCATTTCATTCCAAAGCACAAGCCGTCTTTATTAAATTTAGGATCGCATACTTTTTAGAAGCTGAATCAAGTCTTATGTTGGGCCACAGACATCAGCTGACTTCAGCCTTAATGTCATGGGTTCAAGAAGTACAAACGTCCTCGGAACAAACGCTCCTTTCTGTGTCTGGGGGAGATCACAAGGGGACTGGCTACATGTGGCGGGATATCTGGTCGGGTCACAGCTGGCTGCGGCCTCGGCCTGGCAGGTACGGAGGACGTCCAGCAGCTAGCATTCCGCTCGTTTCTGGCTGTTTTTTTTCCTCCCAATTTGGTAAGAAAAGCCATTTTTTTGGCTCGTCACCTGCAGATGCAGTGACATTGATTTCCAAATGGTGTTCAAAAGAGGAATTTAACTTGAATTCAATCAATCAATCACTTTATTTTGGTAAATTGTCCACATTAAACACAAGAAACAACAAAAGAAAAAAAGAAAAAAAACAATAGACAAACCCACAGGTTTGAATAGACAATTCAGGTTAAAATTCATGTTAAAAGACATTAAGTTGTTATGGATGCTTTTGTGAAACGGACCAAAGGTTAAACTGGTTATGAGCCTCTGGCCTTTGGAGAGCTGGGAGTCCATTTCCAAGCAGCCCATCTTGCGGGTAACGAGAAAACAAAAGAATGGTGCATTCGAATAGTTTCAGGCGTTAACAGCAGCGTTTGAGGGAGAGTGACAGAGCAGACATTGCAGGTCGATGAGACACTGAGTCGACGGTGTCTGGCCTGAGTCAGCACCAGGCTCATGTCTGGTTCCACGTAAGAACCGGCCGGCGATCTGCTCTGCCGGTGAGATTCCTCTCCTCCGCCGTCATGTCCTCCCGCGCACCTCTCTTCCCCTTCCCCCCTCGTGTTCTCAGGAAAAAGGCAGCTGGCTGTTTTCCTTGTGTTTATCGAGCAGGAAGTGGAGCCGACCGGGCTCAGTGTTTAGACACTTGGTAGCGGGGACCGGCTTGGGCCCGGAGCCCATTGTTCTCCGTCTGGCAACCGCTGAGGGTTATTTCTGTTGTTGTTGCTTAATTCTGCCCCGACATTGTGTCGGTCCCCAGCAGAGGAAGGCGCATGTACGCCTGTGTTCCTGCCACTGCGCGGGGCCCAGAGCGGTGGAGGAAGAGAGCCGAAGCGGGCCGTAGAAAAAAAAAAAAAAAAAACAGCGTTGGCGGGCTTTGCTCTTGATGGCTGCGACCATCATCGGTGTTTCCCGACAATGCACTTCTACACCTCACTGGCAGCGGGATGCCGACGCACACTCACAAAACAGAGTGCGTGATATCAAAGTGCCGAGTAAGAAATGATCACATCTTAAGGCGGGGGCGACTTCCCATCAGATTAAAAGCCGATTCCGCATCGGAATCCTAATTTTTGTGGTTCAGATGAATTTTTCTGTTTTCCCTGAATGTCTTTGAAGGTTCCTCTAAGTTCTGCTAGTTTTTTCAGCCTCTGTGGAAGACAAAACTCAAAAGTTTGGGCAGATTTTATGAGCATATCCTGATTTTTTTTTAAAATGTTTTCATTTATTTATTCTTTTACATTCCGGTCAACATGAGGTTGAAGCGTTTTATTTTGGGGATTAAAAGCTTGGCTGTCCTTTTTCCCGCCGCTCAGATGACGAGGAGCTGCTGATCGAGCGCGCCATCCACACCGGCATGGTCAACCCCGGCGACCAGTGGCAGACCATCCTCCACGACGGGCCCGTGGCGCGCATCATCTACCGGATCCGGGTGCGCTGCGACGAGAACTACTACGGGAACAAGTGCAACAAGCTGTGCGTGCCCCGGGACAACTACTTCGGCCACTATCGCTGCGAGCCCTCGGGGGCCCAGGTGTGCCTGGACGGCTGGATGGGGGCCGACTGCCGGACAGGTGAGCGGACGCCGTCTCTGGGGATTCTTACGGACACTGAAGGCACCACGTCCCGCCAACTGCTCCCAATTAAAGGGTCCAGCAAAGTTACAAAGTTCTCTAATTCCAGTGTTTTTAAGGATTACAAAATCAGATGTTTGATTAGTAGTTTTGTTTTTGTATGTGTGTTGGATCTTGTTTGGAGGCATTTCAATTGGGCACACAGCTGTGTGAGTGACCAATGCTTTTGTCAAACCGGCAATGTTAGGAGAGCGTGGGGGGCCCCCGATAAATCACCCGGCTGACCTTAGAAGACGAAGGGGGTGAAAAGAGGAGAGGCGGGGTTGTTTTTAAGAGGCGGGGGGGGGGACTATTTTACGTGCTGTAAAGTTGTCCTCTCCTGGTCCACAGCCCCGCTCGTTAGAGAGACGACTAACTAACCGGGCTCACCAATTCCTCCCCGTTTCCAAGTGACACCCTCCCACCCGAAAAACAGCCACCGATGAACACGGGGTTAACGTGTCCCATTTTGTTTGTTCCCCTTCCAGCGATCTGCAAACAAGGCTGCAACCTGTTACATGGCGGCTGCTCTGTCCCAGGCGAATGCAAGTAAGAAAGACGCTTTATTTGATTTAATACGTAAATACTTCCATTTTTTTAAAAGGTTTTTACCATGAAGAATGTAGCATCTGTTCTGTTTTCATGTTCCGAGGGTCAGTCCAGGGCACGTGCTCATGATCAGGCTCATTTCAGATGCAAAGCTACTCAAAAACAAAGTCGCTTTTTACCGAATATATCTCGACAATCCGAGTGTGCACCAGAGGAAGATGGATCTGGATTCCAAATGGAGGCAACTTCACTTGTCGAAGCTTGTTTTTTTTTTTGGGTGGGGGGGGGGGGGGGGGGGAGGTTTGTGTGGGCCTTTCCTTCCCTTGTGGGCATCTCCGGCTCGCCTCAGAAGAAAAGGGCAACGCCACGCCTGCTTTTGATATTTTTAGCCGCCCAAAATCCTCCTCGGAATACCAAGCATCTGGTCGGCTCTCTGCATCTCGGACCGGGAGGAAGAGGCTCGGCGGTGCGTGTGAACCCCCCCACCCCACCCCCCCCGCTGCGAAACGTGCTGGGAATTGTCAGACGCCCCTGCTTGTCCGCATTGCAGTCGTCTTTGAAGGGCAAGGGGCAAGAGAGGAAACGAATATCCCTCTGTGTTATTTACATTTCCCAAAGTGGAAACGACGGTTAGATAAAGTGACGTCGGACGTCCCCGGGGGGGGGTCCACGTTTCCAGGATGCGGCACATCCCATCGTCATTTGTAAAAATCCCTCTCCCCACCTGCCGGATGGAAGGACACACTCGCCTGCCATTATTAGGAAAAAGGCTTTGGCCGAGAGCCAAGGAATGAGGGGGGATGACCAGCTTTAGGAAGCCGCTTCACATTTTTTTGTGTTTTTTTTTTTTTGTCTCATCCTTATTCCTGTTTGCAAACTTAAGCGTATTCATGTGAAACGTCAACAGGAAACGCGACATGAATAGAGCCGCGGCGGTGAGGAGTCATCTTGCAGGAGCATGAATTTAATGATGCCTCGGGGCTCAGAAAGCTGCCATTAAATCTTTTTTTTTTTGTCTCCTCTGGTTGCCTTTACTTCATCTGGGTTTTATGGGCTTTGCCCTCTCGGCTACGGGCTTTTGACAAACACAAAAGCCGGTACGTGCCTGTTGTTACACTGCTTCATTGAGGCTTTTTCTTACCCCACATCAGGCCTGTCCGGACACATTGAAGCGGCCCCGTCATAAGCGTCGAGGATAAAGGATGTGCAGTGTCCCTTTATTTCACCGCATTTTCCAAACTTGAATATGACTCAAGACGTTGGAATTCACCTCAAGAAGCGACAGGCACAGGTCACCGGGGAGTAAACGGGAAAGCAAAAGGGAGAGTTTCGACGGCCCTCGGGTCCCGAAACGTTTCCCCCGATTCCCCCCCTCGGCCCGGGAATGGCGGCGATTTTTTTTTTTTTCCAGAAGCTTTGCCTCTCAGAGAGGCAGCGGTGCCGTCTGCGAGCGCCCCCAAAAATAGCAGTCAGTTGACAAGACAGCTGCCCTAACGACACGGCGGCCTTGGAATAGCAGAGCGCGGCCCCGGGGCTGCGGGAGTGCGCGCGGGGGGGACACGCAGTTGTCTCCAGCCACTCTCCCTCACGTCCAGACCCACCGGAGCGCGGGAGCCTCTGGAAGTATGCTTAACCTCTCCTGCCCTCGACTGTCACCATCTACCAGGATTAGCCGCCCGCCCCTGATGTGTGGACTCAAAGAGTGGAGACGTTTGAACCGATTTTCCTCCTTCACAGCTCAGCGGTTTAAAACCGGAATCATTAAGCAGTCAATAGGTCATTAGGTCCTCCCCACTTTTTTTATTTATCATTGACTGTAAAGTAGGTTAACTTTTAAAAAGCTTCTTGGTTTGGGTGGAAAAACTTCCCCGACTCCTCCTGAATCACTTGCTGGCATTAAAAAGCAGCATAATTTGCTGCCAAGAGACCAGAAAAAGCACAAATGTATGACTTCGGTCAGGGTATTTTTTACTTTTAATTGGAAACTTAAAGTTAAAGATCTACTGTTTCTTTAGATTCTTTAGTTTCAGAGCAAATTAAAGGTATATTTTTCCCCTCAGGGCTTAATTGAGGGTGCGTTTGAGTGGGTTCTGGGACATTCTGCTGCACAGTTAATGACATCCTCCGCGGCCTCGGTGGAGAACTTCACATTATTCTTTCTAGACTGTGACCTCATTAAGGGGCTTTATGTGAGAACCATATAGCATTGAAACTGAAAATAAGAGAGAATCTTCGGAGTAGAGAGAATGACTGGTGCTCCCGCTTGTCTCAGGTGCAGCTTTGGCTGGACGGGCCAGTTCTGTGACGAGTGTGTGCTTCATCCTGGATGCGTGCACGGGACCTGCGACATCCCCTGGCAGTGCAACTGCAAGAGGAACTGGGGCGGCCTGCTGTGTGATAAAGGTATGGCACCAATATTCACAGTTTAAGGGAGTAGAAAGCTTCTGACAAAAATGGTGTTATGAAACTGAAATATGCCCTTAAGAAGTTCATCTCGGGTTTTAAAGTGTGATGGTCAGGGTTTCACGATTGAGGAAAACAGGTGGCAAGAAACACCCAAAGACTCTCGTTGTTAAGCCCCACAAGTTAAAAAAAAATCTACTACTTTTAAACGGCTGAATTATCACAGGATTATGCGATTTACAAGTGGGCATTATCTCCACAACTCCTCCTCTCTGACTGGAAGCCAGCGGCTGGATAGTTTTACTGCCGCTGTGATCCGAGTAACAGCGGGGACACCCGATCCCGGCACATCCCTTCGTCACGGAGGGCTCTTCGGGGGATGAGAATGGGCCCTGAGATCCCCAGTGGGGACAGAATCCTGCTCATTTATTTACCAGCGTTTAAGGCAGCCTGGCCTTTGGCCTGAGGCCGCCGGGCAGGGATCAGCCTGGTTTGGGCCGAGAAAGCGGCGGTTAAAACATCCATTGTGTAAAATGGCTATTAAGAGATAGCTGCGATAGTTTATCCTTTAAACACAGAGAGGTTTTGATTAGAATGCAGTGGACTGTCACAGCAGGGATTGGCTCCATTGGGTTATTGGAAATTGATTATTTCACTGTGAAATTGGGGGAAAAAATGACTTTAGGGCATGCAAAGAGTGTTTTACATTTAGCAGTATGCACAAAGAAAGCTTGTTTTTCATGTATATAGTTGGAGATTCAGAAGCTTCTAAAACAAAATATACTGTAAATATAACAAGAACCGTGTGTTGGAAAGCTGGAGGATGTGGGAATAATGTCCATAGGTACAAAGGGCCAGGGATCCTGAGATGTTTTTTTTTCTTCTCTAGACCTGAATATCTGCGGTCGCCACCAGCCTTGTGTCAACGGAGGAACCTGCATGAACACCGAACCGGACAAGTACCACTGCGCCTGTCCGCAGGGCTACTCTGGAATGAACTGCGAAATAAGTAAGGGAAAAACCTTTTTGTTAACGCTCAGCATGAATGATTTACACTTTTTCTGTTGCTGGTCCTTTGATTTTCAGTACTTTCTGTAAACTGGACCGTATTTATGTTGTCAAACGGAAATGGATGAAGGTATTAGATCGCTTTTTAAAAAACTTTTCACTTCATGGCCACCTCCCCTCTTGCCCCCAGCTGAGGACGCTTGTGTCTCCAACCCCTGCGCTAATGGTGGTACGTGTCTGGAGGGTCCTGCGGGGTACGAGTGTCTGTGTCCGCTGGGCTGGGAGGGTCCAACCTGTGCCGGCAGTGAGTGGATCTCATCTCATACAGATATCTTTTCTGTAAATGATTTTTTAAAAAGCCCATTTTTCTGCTGTATTTTACAAATAGCTGCTCGGTTCCCGGCCGACAAACCTGTGCAGTGCTGGGGATTTGGTTGGCTCAGAGCCAAGCCACCTGAGCTGACGGCTTGTCAAAGTCTTAGCTGGCAAGCAGCGTTTTCATAATGCTGTTGAAAGCAACAGAATGCAGATGCATCAGCTCTCTGATGCTTCCGCCATGGGCTATAAAAGGGGGTGATGTCATTTAGCTTCTTCCTCCAGCTAAATTTCAGCTAGCTTGCCCAAATAATGTCAGCTCTGTCCCATCTTAAATGTTTTATTTCTGAAAAACAGCGAGATGGGGACTTGGAATGTTGTATTTGGGTAGAAATGAACTTGGTCTTTGTTTGTCTTCCTCAGATTTGAATGAGTGTGCCTCCAGTCCTTGTGCTCAGGGGGGGACCTGCATTGACCTAGAGGATGGCTTTGAATGCAAGTGTCCTCCACAATGGGAAGGAAAAACCTGCCAGATAGGTGGGACTTTTCTTCTTCTTCTTCTTTTTTACTTTTTTTTTAGTTTTCTAACATTTCTTCCAGTTATTCACCTTCCTTAAGGAACTGTATCCCAGTTGACACAGCTGATCTCGGAGGAAGCTGTATAGGTTTCTTTTTTATTAGAATTGGCGGTCTGCAACCTGAGCCTCATGGCCAAGGTACAAGTTGTCAATTTCCTGGATGAGCTGGCTCAAAGCTCTGCCTCCTTATTCCTCAATGACTTAATGGGCTGCTAGTGTGTGTGTGTGTGTGTGTGTGTGTGTATGTATCCGTTTGTTTGTTTGTCACTGCTGGCGGAATGCGTATCTGCATCGCTCTCATCACGATAGGCGGACGTGACCAGCGCCAAGCCAGGAAATGAATTTCCGACCAATGAGCAGAGTCGCAGGGCTTGTGTACGCGGTGGGGAGGGTGTGGGGATGGAGGCAGAAAAAGATCCCGAGTTCAGTGTCGTCTTACCCGCTCAGATCTCAGTTTACGGGCTGCCATGGACCTCCTGTCTTACCTGGTGTGCGCTCAGAGTGTTGGGTTTCCGACAGAAAAACAGGTGTGTAGGTGTGTGTTGCAGGACTCCCTGCGGACTGCCTCCCCACCTCTTCCCCTTTTTGATGTCGGCGGGTGTGGGGGGGAACAGTTTTTTCCACTCATTTATTTGTATTAAACTATGAAATTGTGAAGCAAAGTGAAAGTCATCTGCGTTAAGATCCTATGCGCTTAGAACAAAGAATTTCTAATAATTAACGCCACCCAAATACACATTTACAGTCAAATTTAGCAGTACCCAGATTTTTTCTTATAGTAAATATTCAATAAAAGTGGGGGGGTTTTTTTTAGTTTTTTTTGTAATTTTGTGAGAAGAGCCCTACATTGAAATACTGTAAGAAAACAGGCATTCTGAAGAAAAGCTCGGAACATTCGCCTTTATAAGGCAGAAACTGCTGGTCGAAATGGTGAAATCAGGGATGAGACATATTAGCACGCACTGCAACTAAGTTTCCCTCCTACTATAATGTTCTGTAGGTTTTCTGGTTTTCCTCAAAGGCTGGTTTATCTTTCATCCCGAAATTCTGGTGGCTGGTTTTCTTAATGGTTCAGGACCATGGACAGTGCATTTGAATAGAGTTGTAATTGATGTGCAGCAGGAAACTCTTTAGCTTTAGCCGTCCTCCATAGCACTTATTTAGAAGGGAAAAAAACTAAATTTTTGTCTCCCCCTCCTCCCCTCCCCCCCCCAAAAAATGCTGTTAGTGCTCAGATTCTGGTTGTGGTATCCTTTTCCGCCTCCCTCTCCTTTTTGGGTTCATTTCCATTGACGGGCTCCTTCTACCTCCTGCCTCCTTCACAGATACAAATGAGTGTGCAGGCCGGCCCTGTGCGAACGCTTTCTCTTGCAAAAATCTGATTGGTGGATATCACTGCGACTGTTTTCGGGGATGGTCCGGACAAAACTGTGACATCAGTCAGTATTTCTTCCTCAGAGTCGCCTCCTCAGTGAATTTCTCTCCTTGCATTAACACCATCTTGCCCTGGTCGCTCTCCAGACGCCTCCCTTCACTTCCTGAACACGCAGCTCTGGCCTAGTGTACTTTCACTTAATTTCCCACATGTGGTAACCTGTTCTTTTCTTCCTCTGACAGTCTGAAACTGCAGCTCTGCCATGCACGCTTACCTATTATTCGAGGTTTCCATGGTGCTATCTTGGCTTAATTTTCCAAACTTTGATTTAATCTGAATGTTTGTTGTAGATTTAAGATGATGATAGATAAGCAATAGATTAAATAGATTTTTTTCCCCCAGATGTAAACGGCTGCCGTGGTCAGTGCCTGAATGGAGCAACGTGCAAGGTATTCACGCCTTTTTCGTTTTTAAATCCCGCGTATAAAACAAATTTGGTCAAAGTTGGAGGATTCATGGTTGTTGCCTCCTGAATTTATCTCCTTATTTGACTTGTGTGTTTTGTAGAAGGGCCCAAGGGGTTATCACTGCCAGTGTGCTCCTGGATTTGTGGGCTCTCACTGTGAAATCCAGAGGAATAAATGTGACAGCAGACCGTGCCAGAACGGTGGACACTGCCACGCTGTGCTGGACAGCTTTGTGTGTGAATGCCCATCGGAGTTTGCTGGCCAGCTGTGTGAGGTGAGTCCAGTTCTCTTTTCTCATACAGCTACTATATCAAAGGTGTTTTTTCTTTTTTTAAATTCATGTAGGCTTGTGTTTGCTGGCATTTTATCAATGTATATGGAATTAGACTACACTACAGGCATTTTGGATTCCCATTTTGTCAGTTTGATTCTGTTTTTAACAGCTGGAAACTCCCAGGATTCACCTTTTTGCTCTAGCAACAAATATAACTTCCCTTATAGCATGTGATGGTATTTTGGGGGGGGGGGAAGTGATTTCTCCTCTTGTCAGCGGCTGGTTTCCAATTGCCCTAAATTGACTTGCACCTCTTCCAGGGAAAAAACGAACCATCACTTGACCCGACATGTCGAGTCTTTTCAACATCTGCTCTGATTATGTAATACGTCTTTGTCTCCAGCCCTGTAGCCAAGCCTGCCTTTCTTTGCCAACTCAAGTGTGCTTCCCGGTTAAGTTAGTCTCCAGAATCGGTGTCCTTGCTGCAGCTTTCCTATACGAGCAGCGTTTTAATGTAGGTTATCAGTGGGGAAACTGACACTTCACTCCATCTCTGGGGCCCTGAATGGAGGACATTGCTGGTCTGGAGCCAATCCAGATTTAGCATCTCTACTATAAATGTGAGCCTCTCTGAATGAGGTGATGTTGGATTTCTGCCTGCATACTACAGAGCTTTGATGCCTGCTATGGCACGGTGTACATTCCTGTCCTGTCGTGCCAAAACTACAACGCCTGCAGCATCATATTTCACTGATTAGTATCTCAACCGGCGATTGAGCAACAGTTTTGGCACAATTCCTGCTTTAAATCATGTTTGTAAGCTGAAAAATGGAAGAAGAAAAAAAATTAAAGGGTTCCAAGTGTTGTGTTGTTCGCTGGGGGCCCTCTGACCACACACGGAGATGTTTGAGGAAAAAAGGCATATCTGGCCCTGACATTTGAGGTGAAATAAACTGCGTGTGACCACAAACTGGCCCAGGTTCGGCACCTTAAATGGCAACGGGGCACAACCCACAGTTTATCCACAGTGGGCTTCTGTTTACATTAACGTGGGAGATTTTCTTTCTAGCTGCTGCATTGTAGCGTTCAGAAATGGGCAGTTATGTTTCACTGGCTTTCCCACTCCGTAGCTGTGCTGCGTCGGGTCATTTGGCTCCATTTTTTTTGTCATGATGTTCGACGGTGGTCAGCGTTTGGCCTTACAGTGGATTATCTTCCTCTTTCTCACTCTGGGCCTTTGACAAAGATTCTCTCTCAGAATAATCTTGGGAGATTAGGCAGGGCAGGGATGGAAAACAGGGAGCGTGGATTCCCTTGATGAGCTTAGCGAAAGTTTCTGGGGCTTACTTTTCTCGTCTGCTTACCTTCACTTTGTTGTGGAAGGCAGCGGTGGCTTGAGCCCGCTAAGCTGCTCATCTACACGGACTTAGGCCTCCTTTCTCTCTGCTGCTGCTCCTCTTGCCTCGTTGTCTTAAAGGTTGTCAACAAAGTCTTTTGCGCTACAATGCGTTGCGAAAAAATAGGTTAAAACTCCAGATGCCTGTGGCCAGAGCACCTTACCACCCCTAACCCCTAACATTCCCCTCATTTTGCGTAGTTTTTTCCATTCCATTTTTATTTAATTGATTTATTATGTTTTTATTTATGATGCATTTATGACTTTGTATGTTTTCTTATGCTTTAATGTTGTCTTAATGATGATCGTCTTTGTAAAGTGCCCTTGAGTGGTATGAATTGCGCTTTTTAAAAATGAAATCTATTATTATTATGAAAATTTTTTTATTAAAGTATTTGTATTTTAGCACAGAGGTTTAAACTTCCTGCGTTTGGTCCTTACTGAAATGATCTTTTCTTTGCAACCCCGCAGATCTCCAGTTGGTCCCCCTCAGATACGTGTGATCCAGACCCCTGTGAGAACGGCGCCACGTGCCACGGCATGGACCAAGACTTTTACTGCGCGTGCCCCGAAGGCTACGAGGGAAAGACGTGCGAAAACCTCAAAGAGGGCTGCCCGACCACGCCGTGTCAAGGTAACGGCTCCCAGACGCCGACGGGAAAGACGCCCCGGCCACCCCTGCGTTTACCGAGCGGTGAAAGTGACGCTTTCCCCCCCTTCCACCCGCAGTGATTGACAGCTGCACCGTAGCCGTGGCGACCAACGACTCGGCCGGAGTGCAGCGCGTGTCGTCCAACGTGTGCGGCCCGCGCGGGCGCTGCGTCAGCCACCCGGCGGGAAACTTCTCCTGCGTGTGCGAGCCGGGCTTCAGCGGCGTGTACTGCCACGAAAGTACGTGGAGACGATATAAAAATGACACTCCGACGCCACCGTCTCACTGGCACAGACTAGGAATTGTCTCAGGCGCGTTCTCCATTTCTTACGGTTTTTCTTCTTTTTTTTTTTCCAGACGTCAACGACTGCATGGACAACCCCTGCGGAAACGGGGGGACCTGCATCGACGGGGTCAACTCCTTCCAGTGCTTCTGTCCGGACGGCTGGGAGGGTCAGCTCTGCGACCTCAGTGAGTCCCTCCGCCCCTTTTTAGGCGTGATCCGCCGCGGGTAGTCGCCCTCGTGGATAATCTCCACGGCTTTCCGCGCACACACACTGGGGTTTGAGCCCTCTGCTTGCGCTGGGCTTGAATCTCTTTGTGCGAATGGGGACGGCCGTTTAGTAACCAGCGCACGGAAGACTGAGTCATCTCCCTCTCTTAGATGTGAACGAGTGCGGACACAACCCCTGCAAGAACGCCGGCCGCTGCTTGGATCTGGTGAACGACTTCTACTGCCAGTGTGCCGACGGCTGGAAGGGCAAGACCTGCCATTCCCGTGAGTTTTTTTTTTTTTTCAGCTTGAGCTCCAGGTTGCATCTGTCCACGTTTCGATTGGCGTAAAGACGGCGATGGTGAAATGAATATGCTCTTTTTTGGGTGTTTTGCTCAGGTGAGAGCCAGTGTGACGAAACCACCTGCAGCAACGGAGGCACCTGCTACGACCACGGCGACACCTTCCGCTGTGCGTGCCCGCCGGGCTGGGCAGGAAACACCTGCAACACAGGTGAGGCATTTCATGCTACAGAGGAGAAGCCGATCTCGATGTTGCCATTCGGCATTGTGTCGTTCCACCGTTCGCTGGATGTGAAAATGTCCCGTTTCATGATGGAGGACAGTCATTTGTTTTTTTCCGCAGGCTGAAGAAGTTATAATCACGATGTGAAGGGTGTCTTAGGTGTTAAAATCTGAAACGCTCACATTTACAAACACGGCGTGCGTCAATTCGTTCATATGGAGTGCAGTTCTGAAAAGTTTTTTATTGATCATTAATAGTCAAGTTTAAGTCCAACAATGTGGATGAGCAGACAGCAAAACAGAAACTTCCAAACAATGTCATACAAAGGCAAAAAAAGCAAGTTTCACACTAGAAAGTTTTAAGCCTAAATTGTATAATTGAGGTGTCTCGTTGCAAACTTGTTTTATTGTCACTGGTTGTTTTGAGGTTGCGTTGCCTGTGTCCACAGCATTCATGGAACTCCAGTGATTGTTATGCTTTAATCTGTGTGGGAAATGTTGAGTGGCAACTCTGGGGGAGAGAGCTGAGGGGAGGGCAGGCTGTAGGCCAGAGAGGAGGCATGGATACAACTGAGCTGCATCCACTCAGATTGTTTGTCTTTATGTCTTGTGTGATCCATTTTGGGATTTTCAACGACCAAATGGCCCTCTCTGGTTTTTGACTAATCCTCTCCCTTCCTGCAGCCAAGAACAGCACATGTGCTTCCAGTCCTTGTTCCAACGGGGGGACGTGTGTTGGAGGTGGGGACACCTTTTCCTGCATCTGCAAAGAGGGCTGGGAGGGACCAACCTGCGGGCAAAGTGAGTTTCGCTTTAAAGCTTTGGTTTTCATTTTCTAATCAAGTCATCATCCTTCGACGTCTATATTTTTATTTAAATGTCAGCCATCTTACAAGTGACGCATTATACACTCATTTGAATAAGATAATTTTCATGTATGTCCAAAGAGAATTTAAGTTTTTTTTTTTAAATCTATTTTTAATGGTCAATCAATTATTTTCTTAAGGTATGATTAAGACTCGTTGTTTGAAGACTGCAAAGTTGTTGTTTTTTTATCTTTATTCCATGAAAAGCCATCACATCAAGATGTCACTCGCTTTGGTGTCGTGAATGAAATTCAAGAAGGCCTCTGAATTATTGAAAAGCACTCAAACAAAAACGGTACTAAGAAGTTTTCTGGGCGGCTCAACATAAACTTTTTTTGTGCTCCTTTCTCTTTTCCACAGACACAGACGACTGCAACCCTCATCCCTGGTACGTAAACCTCCTTGCCTTTGCACCCGTTTGTACTTGTGCCCCCCCTTCCCCTCTCTCTGTCATCTCCACACTTCACACAGACCTTGCTGGTTTGAGGGGTGAAGGGCCGATAAAGAGCAGTGGAGGTTGTCCTTAAATCAAGCCTCAAAGGGGCATCTCACCGAGGGGAAGGGGCGAGTGGAGGGGGGGGGGGGGTCTGGGTTATTGAATGGGACAGTTAGATGTGGGAGTTTTGTGGGGAGGACAAGAGTCCCACCTACCCTATGGTGAATGCAGGTGGGGGGAAGGTTGAGTGGCAGAGGGGGGTGTACGTGTCCATTCTTCCCCCGCGACCTGGGGGGGAAGCTGGGCTTTGAGGAGGCATGGAAGGAAGGCACGATGAGAGGAGGGGAGGGGAGGGGCTGGACACGCCTATTAGCATCTGAAAGGTGGAGGCTTGTATTGATGAGCTGAATTGAGCATTGACCCCCACCACTAAGACACAGACAAACAATGTACTTTGTCGCAGCTGGAAAGGATGTACAGCTCCGTCTAATCGCTCATTCCTCTCCCCCCTCGCAGCTACAACGGAGGGATCTGTGTGGACGGAGTCAACTGGTTTCGCTGCGAGTGCGCCCCCGGTTTCGCCGGACCGGACTGCAGAATCAGTGAGTTGCCGGACGTCCATAATGCCTGCCAAGGGCCCGGGGCCCTAACGTAGTCGTGGCAACGCAGCGTAATTAGGAGCATGGGTAGATTGGGTCTTAGAAAAAAGGTAAGGACGGGGATTAGATGGACACATTGACACCTAAATGCAAGTTCTCTGCCCTCCTTCTTGGTCCTTTAATGCCTCAGGGGTCAGAGGTCATCCCTCCTCCATACTCGCACATTCACACATTCACACACTGAAGACAAATTACTCAGTGACCCTGAAATTCTCCCTTCTCCGTTCTTTTGTTTTGGCTGGATAGCATTCACCTTTGTAGTCAGGGCTCCAATTTTAGAATTCTCATCCAGACCGCGTTTATGTGATTATCTGGGTGACAATGGTCGAGGGTTCCCACTGGTTCTTTTAAGGCGCCTTCAGAACGGGAGATTTCTGCAGGGCCTGACGTGTGACATGGACCCTAGCAGACTCTGTGCTGCAGCTGGCTGCTCCATGGAAGTCTGAGGAGCAGCCACATCTCAGGAGTCGCCTGAAATTTATTATGTTAAAACACGTTTTCTACTCCATGGAGGCCTGATAAAGTCAGCTTTGGGATTCATGTTTTGCAGAAACTTAAAGAGCTGACATGCCTTTTATAATCATTATAAGTCTTTAAAACTGTTTTGTCACTGTATTATTAGTATGGTTGTTCACTTTTGTATTTGAAGTTTTGCGTTGCTATGTGCACTGCCTCTTTTTTTTTGGTTGCTGAGCTACGCTTATAGTTGTAACACAACATATGATTCTCTAGAAAAGTTCAACAAAATCTTTAAGTTGCTAAAACATGATAAAACCTGGAACAGAGTATAAACCGCTCATTGAAACGTAACCGTTAGCTTGTTAGCTCAGCAGCTCCAGTAAGTTATCAGTCAGTCGTCCAAACGCCACCAAGCTTTGTGTAAATCCTCTCGAAATCCGCAGATTTATATTTAGTGTCGTTCCTCCCAGTGTTGCGGTGCCTCTGCCGTGCCAGCCAGAAGCAAGAAGTTGGCTCCAGGATCACAGCTAAACCTGATACTCTTTTTCAATCTGCAGACATCAATGAGTGTCAGTCCTCTCCCTGTGCTTACGGAGCCACCTGTGTGGACGAGATCAACGGCTTCCGCTGCATCTGTCCCCTCGGCAGAACGGGAGCGCGCTGCCAAGAGTGTAAATACTTTCTGCTCATAGCAGCCATACCCGTAACCGCACCGATTCCCATTTTTCTACTTGCACCGCGCGATTCTAACTCGTCTCTCTCGGCCCATGCCCAGTCATAGGTATTGGAAAGGTTTGCCATTACGCCGGGCTGCAGTTTCCCCACGGCAGCACCTGGGAAGAGGAGTGCAACAGCTGCCGCTGCATCAGTGGCAAAGTGCAGTGTACGAGGGTAAGATTCTGCTGAAGTGATCCGTGTGTGGACACCTGCAGAGGCCTAAACTAAGCATGCCCAGTCTGCATGCGCCAGGAAAACCACTGTACTTTCTGAATGTGCTTTCATTAGCGTGAAGCTAACAGACTGACTGTGTTTTTAAAAGTCTCAAGCTTTTTTCTTTGATTTTTTTTGTTTTATGTGCGAGAGTCCAAACTCCCACTCTCCTAAATGGAAGTCTTTTAACACCTCTGCGATCGATGAGGCGGCCGGACGAATGACCTCTGGGGGCCGCGTGTGAGTGAATGTTTTACGCCCTGTGACGCCAGGTGCTGTGTGGCCGCCGTCCGTGCCGGCTCCGGCCGTCCGGCCAGGACCAGAGGCGGCTGTCCTGCCCGGCTGGACGGGAGTGTCTGGAGCACAGCTACTACACCTGCTTCTCCCCGCCGTGCGACCAGCGGGGGGTCTGCTCCGTGGCCGGACCCTCACCTCCGCAAGCGGCCACCAAGTGCCAGCCGAACGGCGGCCATTTGGACAACAGCTGCGGCCGCATAACACTCGTTTTCAACAGAGACAAAGTGCCACCGGTGAGACTTTGTCCACAGAAAAAAAGGGAGGTTTGCTCGTCCGGGCTCTTTGTGTGGTTGCTGAGAGACGTGTTTTTTGTGTGCGTGTGCAGGGAACGACGGTGGAGGATATTTGCTTCGAGCTGAGGTACCTTCCGGATACCAGAGGCCTGGCCAAAGACCACGCCCTTCTCCTGCTGTGTGAGCTCTCCCATTCAAATCAGGACGCCGTGGAGGTGGCTTTGGTAAGTGGTTAACCCGAACCCTCTTGCTTTCAGTTAAAATGGCTGGATTATACGTTTTATGTACAGTGTTTTCACAACTAGAGGTCTCTCCTTTTTCTTTTTTTCTTTGCGGAAGACAAAGTGTTTGTGGCTGAAACAGTAATAAAGTAGTTTAAAGAAGTGGGAGATGAAGAAATATGTGGATTATTAGTTAATTTCAGTGAGCAGTAACTGTTTTTCTCATCAGCAATGTGAGTTCCAACTTTATTCTTGAAAGCAGGGACACACTCTTACAAACACACACACTCGCATACACACATACACACCTGTTTCCATCATGTCTGACAGCCTCTTCTGTTATCTCATCGGCCCCGTTTTTTCTCTCAGTCTTTTCAGCCGGAGGACCTTCCGGACCACAGTCTGATCCAGGAGGCGGCCAGCGCCATTGTGGGCACCTTGTCCAAGCGGCACAACAGCACCGTGATGCTGGCGGTCATCGAGGTCAAAGTGGAAACGCAGGTCATGCCCCCTTCAGTGGGTGAGTGACGATTAACAAAGGGCCCCGATTCTGGGTTTGATCAGCAACTTCTCTCTTCCCCCAGCTGATGTCTGGCCTTTTTTCTCTGTCTTCTCCCCCTCTCTGTGCTCAACAGATTACTTGGTGCCTCTCCTGTGCGTCCTCTTCTGCCTGCTTTGCCTGTTCTGTATCATCGTGTGCGTCTGGTGGACGCGCAAGCGGAGAAAAGAGCGCGAGAGGAGCTCGCAGTCGGCCGCCGACGACAGCGTGAACAACCAGTGGGAGCCGCTCCGTCTGGTGGTGGGCCGGCCGCCGCCGCAGCAGCTGAAGGAAAGCAACAGGGAGGCCGAGCAGGAGCGCAAAAAGCTCATGGGCCCCTCCTGTCGGACGTGTGATGAGGAGGAGGAGGAGGAGGAGGAGGAGACGGAGGGCGAGCTGGAGCTGGAGGAGGAGTGCGGCGGGGCGGAGGCGGGGAAGCAGCTCGTCTATAAGTACTCTAAGACTGCGGTGCAGTCCAGCGGGGGGGTGATCTGCACCCTGCACAGCTCCAGCTCGCCCCTCAAAGCCCCCCACCGGACCCACGGCTACAGCCCCAAAGACAACCGCTGGAAAAGCGTCAGCGCTGTCTTGACTGGTCAGAAGGAGCACAGAGACCATTGTGTATAAGAAATCTAAACAAAGAACAATGCGGAAGCAAGAGGGGGGGGCTGCAAGGCAGCCACAATTCTAAGTTTTGGGACTTTGTTTGGAAAGAGAAAAAAAAAAAAAAAAGGCTTTGTGTTTTAATAAGCCATTCTTTGCTTTAATTTCATATTTTGCCCCTCGGTCACCTGAGGGGCTGTTTGGATTCAGAAGGCTCGAGCACGGTGGACATCCTCCGTTTTTTGCTTCTGTTTTCTTATTTTTCGTTGCGTATTGAAGAAGCTAAATTGTAACTGTTTCAGAAGGCAAAAGAGAGCTTTCTGCATTATTTTGGGTTTTGGAATTGTACCATTTAAGAAAGAGTTAATAATTGAAATGGAGTTTAAGAAACTGTATAAAGATTTTTGTTTACAAAGGATTATGATTTTCTTGGAACTTTTCAGTGGGCTTCTGTTCGTTGTCTGTGGGAGCAGATCCACATTAAAGGGACTGTAAAGGAAGGGTCCGGAGGGAAGTGGACTGTTGCATCCAACCCTCCCTTTGCCCGTCACCTTCCAGCTTTGCCCACCAATCCACCTGTGGCCGTCGTGCGCCAGCCTTACCAAAACACTTGGCCTGGAGGAGGAGAGGGGACCGAAACCCCAGTGCCTACTATGTGGCCTTGCATTTTTTTTGTTTCTCCTTTTTCTCGGTTTTCTCAGCTGAAAGCTCTGTTTGAGGAATTTTTTGCAGTATTTGAGTTGGTAGCAAGTGCCTTTCTAAGAGCTGTGTTTTGGCTCCAAGTCGCGCTGCCCAATTTGACCTCCTTGTCCTCCGATCTTAAAGGGATACATGTACATTTAGAGTTCGGTTTCACAGCAACGCCATTCAAGGTATTTGATCAAAACAGAAATGACTACTCTGTACATAAATGTAAATACAAAGGAGTCGCTGTGTATATTTGAAATAAGTAACTTAAAGACAAGTCACACATTTTTATTGTTATTATTAATGATATTCTTATTTTTTCTTTTCTTTTCATTTTCTTTTTTTTTTTTACAATGCCATTCCTTTTATTTATGTCAGTCAAAATAGGCAGGTTTTATAACACTTAATATCCAGCGTCCCGCTGTTAAGAACCTTTACAATGAGGTACCACCTATAAAGGAATTTCTGAAGGGTTCATAAATGGTTTGTCATGGGATAAAAATGTCTTTTGTGAATGTAAAGTAAAAAAAATAATGCTTTTGAGCGTTCACTTTTGAATTACTTTGCTGTAGAACATAATGTAAAGACATAACTTCTCTTACTGAAAATTTTGAGGGCTATCTGGCTTTAAATGATCAACGTACACTGTCACAGTTTTCAGCCTCTTATGTTCTTTTTAATTATTTTTACTCCTCAGTTTAATTTTTTTAAAACATTTTCTGTTTACTATAGTGGTGTTTTTTGGTTCTTAATAAAGAGTTAAACACATGGATGAAAGCAGCCACTAATATAGCCTTAAAAATGCTTCAAACCATTTCTAAACCCATCACAATCCCTTTTATTTCAGGTGCCTTAATGTAATTATTTATGTATATCTGTGTTATCAGTGGTCATCATTTTTTGTTTTACTTTCACTATTAAGAAAAAGTTCTTCTTTCATTGCGTTGTGTATTGTGGTGCGTTTTATTCAACCGAGTAAAGCACTCTGTCTCACTTTGCTATCATGGAGATTTCTGAAATAAAACAATAATGGAGAAGAGGGGGGGGGGGGGCAATAAAAAAAATCCACCATAACTGTTTTGAACGTTATGAATGTGGATGTTTCATTGGTCAAATGTGGATGCTTCAGCATCATGTTTGGTTCCAAGGCTTTAAGGGATCAATGTTTGCAGGTTCAGATTATTTTCTTTTTTTGCCATTATGCAAATATGTTTAAAGTTACCAACTCGGTTTCAAATTACACAGTTTTCCCCCTTTTTCATACCATGCCACTGTATTTCTGTAAATGGGACGCAGCAAAATAAAGAGTTAAAGTTGCAGCACTGCTGGTGTTAATGGCTGAAAATGTATACTGAACACAGCTGGTGGACAAGAGGGCAGCAATTAGTTTTGTACAAAGTACCAAAGTTTGAATTCTGGAGTGGATGTTGCGTTGTTATAAATAATCATTCCACTTATTTATTAAAGCGGTTTTGACCTCACTCTGGTATAAGTTGGTTTGTGGTGCAGAAATCTGTGTATAAATTGTGCATATATGTATGAATTTCTCCAAAAAGAAAAATTAGGGGAATTCCACACTTGGATGGAAGACATTTGAATTAAAACTAGGAAAATACACATAAATCTTCTTGGGGTGGTTGGGACTGATTGAGTAGGTTTGAAGGGTCAAAGCTTTGTCTTTGGAAATGACAGGATCCAGGTATTTAAAAGAGAATATTGCACACTTGGCTACACCACACTGTTCCCTTATTCTGTCAGAGGTTTGAATTATTATAATTTTTACTTTCATAAACTTTAATTGCCAATTAAGACACTGTTTTCAAATCTTAGGAAAGCACCATTTTTCATTATAAATACATTATTTAGATGTATTTTCTCAAGTCAAATCAGTTTCAGATTTACTTTGAGCCTTCCAACTTTTTTCTTTTCTCACGACTGCAGTCTTCTGAGTCCCTGCTGCACTTGTTTTGTGTGTGTGTGTGTGTGTGTGTGTGTGTGCATGTGTGCGCATGTGTGGGCTGAGGATGGCCTGGATCGATCGATCAAATAACCTCACCAGCCTCCTCACATCCTGCCATCAGACTTGCTCACGCCACACCAATAGAACCTCCTCTCCTGTTCTGGGCCGATCCGTTCTCCTCCAATGGGAGGCTGGCGTGATCTTCACAGTGGGATGATGGTGGGTTGGGACATTTATCCTCCTGGACTCCCACGGGCACCCCTGGTTGGTACTAATGGGACCTTCCCTCGTCGGAAAAGCTGGATCAAGTTACACAGCTTTGTGGAAGAGGTGGCGTCATCATCAGAGAAGAGAATTGCAGATATTATTAGAAGCATTATCAGATCCTGTGAAAAGCTTCTGGTGGAGCGTTGCACTGTGATTCGGATGAAGCTTTTATTTATTTATTTTTTTACATTTTCATGTTTCTGTTTCTTCTTGGTTTCTCAAACCCAAACTGAACAAAAGCTCAAGCCTCTGACATTCAGGGATCTGTCTATGACACCTGCCCTTTTTACTAGATGAGACCCCTCAATGGTTGGCTTGTATTGGACTTGGAAGAACTCAACTGTCCACAGAGATTTGACCGCAGCCCAACAGTTGTTCTGGCTGAACCGATAACGGTCTCCATAATGTCATGAGAATCCAGCGGATCTGTGGCCACGGTGGACACGAGAGACTGAAGGCCTCGGATCGGTTTCAGAACGACATGTCTTCATTTGCAATTTGCAATGACTGCAGTGTGGATGATTATTAGTTTTTTCAGCTCGAAGATGTTTAATCTTGGTATGACAGCTACTGTCCAGCGGTTTTAATCACTACATGTGAGACTCAGTTAATTCTAATTTAGGGTAATAAAACAATGCTGCAAAAAGCTCTGCTTAAACATGACCTGCACCATGAGAAAAATTCTGTTTTTCGTTCATCACTACACTGATTGGTGCTCATTATGTAACTTAAAATTTTGTGTAGTATAATAATCACAGTCACAGGTTCCTGACACTTCCAGTCCAATTCTTCAGGAAATAACTCTGTTTTGACTGTTTTTTAAATGCTAACTTCCAAAAGCATTGATGATCTCTATACCTAGATTACCTATAAATAACAAATCTATATCTGTTCTTCTTTCTTTATGCCAAATTAAATCTTGCAGGTCTTCTTTGATGTCCAATTATGAAACGGAGAATGTTTATTTACTGCCGTTGCTTAGTGCGAGGTAGTAGAAGTGTACTGTCAAGTTGCCTATGTGCCTGTCAGCATCAATACCCCCCATGATCCCAGACTGCATAGGTAAGCTGACACCAGATTCCAAAAGTGGCTACCCACTACAGCCAAGGACATTTCAGTGAGCTGCATTTGTAAACACGTAGTACTAGGCTACTACACCCATCTCAAAATGGCTGAAAGCATTCGCAGCGAGAATAAACAACCGAATTGTAATTGCCGCCTGAATTTCGCAGGACGCGTTTCATCATAGACGGCTGCAGACACCTTAATGTGCACGTGCACTGAACGTGCACACAGACAGACTGCGGAGGACTGACTGGGAGAATAAAGGGTGGTACATCTGTTGATATGGGTCTCTGGGCACCATCTGACGGTGGAGGCAGCTGGGTGACGGGATTTTAGGCTAAGCCCTTCACCACTTTAACACACAGGCTCTCAAACAGCCTCCACACATAAACACACACCAAACATGGCCCTGATGGGACGTGGAGCTGCGGCGTGCGGGTGGACGGCGGGCTGCAGCTGGCACTGTGGGCAGACCGAAGCGGGGGAAACGAGACACACTGACTGGCTGTGTTTGGGCCGTGGGATCGTGCGCATTTACTGGCACCGCGCGTCTGTTTTGGCACGGCAGTTACCCCCGACACACACCCCTCTCCGCCAGGAGGTGGGGAAGGCCCAGTCCTGGCCAAAAGGGAGGGAGGGCTGCGGCTGGAGGAGGGCAGCAGAAATCTATTGGGTGGTTAATGGGACAGCTGTTCAGGGACAAGATATATGCCGAGCATCAAAGAGAGCCAGGATGTTAGGATTAAACCTAAAAATGACTGCAAGGTATTCTTAGAATTTTATGAAGGTGAATGAATTTGATGTTTCATATATTCTTCCTTTGAATATTTCAAAATTGTCATAAATGAGCTAATACAAGAATTTAGCTTACGTTTTGGTTAGCAGCATTTTTCAGTCAAACCCAAATATGCAGGGGTTCAATTAGACAAAACAAAAACAATGTCACATGACACCTGAGGCTTATATCAATATTGGAATAAATAAATCTACCTTTAATTTGATTATAAAAAACCTATAATTGATAAAAAGTTGAATTCCTTTGTGAAAGTGGATTAAAAACTTTTGCCACATTAATCAGTGTGCACACTATTATTTTTTTTGTATTATAAAACATTTCGTTAGAAAGGTATTTCTGTTCTCACAAAGGGCACGACAGTCATGGAAGTCATTCAAAACACACGCATTGGGTTTTGCACAGGTCAAAAGGCCAAAGTAGGATAAACAAACTGTGAATTTGCATCTACTTCCCCTCAACAACCAGAGGCTCTTGTCTACACCTACTGCACATCACTCACATGCGACTTCAGGTCGTGGCGCGACGCCAACCCATGAGCGACGTGCATTTTTGGGCTGGATATCTTGTAAACGTTCAGCCTTTAACAGCTGCTGGCGCAAAACAAATCATGCGCTGGTAAAATTGTTCACAAATAGAATGCAATACACACGCCTACCTCACTCCTGTCTTTAAATCAAGTGACAGATGGAAAGAGTGTGTGGCTGAGACTGTGCTTTTTTGAGATCTCACCATGTAGTTTTCCATCCTAATATATATTTGCCTCCACATATCCCATGCATGTCTGTTTGTACATGCTCAAGTAACAGCCTGCAGTGTAACCAGACACTCTGCACAGGGATATGCAAGGTCAATTTGCACCTCTCCCAGTGGAGTGGCATTTGGGAATGTAAAATACTCTCAGGAACTGCAGCACACTGGAGCAAGACGTAGTTAGTACAGTACAAGAAAAGCGAACGGCGGCAAATGAGCCGCACTGAGGTTTTAGGTCTTTGACCTGTTCCTGAGCCACAATGAAGCTTTTAATTAAGAGGCACGCGTGTCCACAAGAAGCCAACGGACAATCACACATACTCACATTCACTTCTAATGGCACTTTAGAATCATCAGTTAACCTAACGTGCATGTTTTTGGTGGTTGGGAGGAAACTGGAGTACCCGGACAGATTCACGGGGAAACGGAAAGTAAAAAGTCTGAGCGTTGCAGAAAGGAATAAGCAGCAAAAATCTTCCGTTTTTGAGTTGTTTTTGTTCACAGACGAGTCACACTGCAATTCCCCTGCTTTGCTCTTACACTCCTGACTGCAGTCTCTGTCTCTATATAAAACTGAGAGAGTTGTGTCTCCATCAGGGATCCATAACTTTCCATTGGCCAGTAATCTAACGCATCCAGTGGTTCAAAGTTCCATGCTTCACATCTGATGGAAGGAAAAGACAACCTGTTCTAGGAAGCCAGACTCCAGGATTGTATCAAACTTAAGGATAAGGCATCAGACAATTGGAAACAAGCAGGGAGTTTTTGATCTCTGTAACATGGAGACATTAAGCTCTATAACTCTCTAACTGTAGGAAAAACAAGTTAACAACCACAAACATTAAGCTTTTGATTCCAGTGGCTACGTGCTTAATTTACACTGAAGTAAGTGGCGTGTTAAGGGATTAAAGTATGTGTTGCTTTCATCTTCAATTAATCTTGCTGGGAACGCAGCATCCTGGTGCACATGGTGGTTTGAACAGTGAGTGTTGCACTCTGGGATATAAAAGTGAAAAATGTCCTTTTTTTTAAAAATTGAACAAACACTTACCAACCAGGCTCTGGTACTTGCTTTGTCTTACTTTTCTTTATCACTGTTTTTTATTTGTATGCCTGCGTTGGTATTAGTTAGCTTACTTCTGTGTATGTTTCCTCGTTTTTCTTGGTCACTTTTCCCTCTACCTGTTTTCCTTTTCAGTCCATTAGCATCCACGAAGCCGTATTACTGCCATCTGCTGGATCTCACTGTTTCGCCTGTACGTTATCGGCCCAGATTTCGCGAGAAAGTCGAATAGATGATGTTGTTCATTGTGCAGAATGCTTCCAGCAACACTCACCTGAAGCTAGTTGACTAATGACCACACCTGCTCTGTGGTCAGTCGTTATCTGCCGGCTCATCTTCTTCAGATGATTCCCCGTGTCTGGTTTTCCTGCCATGTTCTTTGGAGTTCCACGTTCCAGGCCCTCTCAGGGCTTTCAGGACCTTTCCATGTTGGAGAAAAATGTCAAAAGTGTTTGAAAGGTCATGTCAATCAAAACAAAGTTAGACTTTAATCTGGAACTGGTTCCCATTTGGTTTGATTTAAAACTCCAGATAAATCATTCAATAAACTCCATCGTGATGCTTTCTGTAATGAAAGCAATGTAAAAAACAAAAAAATAAACAATCTTAATCAAGAGCAAGTGAGTTGAGCATCATTGTGAAGATGG